TTTGCAAAAATGTTGGTATTTTGCAGTGGAATCAGTTTTGCCTAAACCCTCCGCTCATCCCTACATTTAAACACAATTGTAAAATGACCTATCTGTTATGCACCCGAAAATCCCCAGTGACACATTGGCCAGCATCACTTTCCCACAACACTGTGGTACTACATAAGTAAACCACAGTAGTAATAATTGTTTTCCTATACATACACGTATAAAGATGACAGATGGAGAGACACTGTAGCAGTTCTTATGGAATGCGACCCACTTTGGTGAGAACAGTAAACTTTCTGCCATGTCCTCATCAAACACATATGGCCTTTTAAAAATTACAAAGGGGGACATCAATTCTAAGATTTGTCTTATCAGTGCTTTTCTATAACAGTGCTAATAACTGTAATCCTCTGCTATTGTAATCACATTCCACAAAACCACATAAGTGTTTGTTGTTCTGTTCAGAATGACATTCCATTAAGAAAAGCATACTGTATTCTGCAGTGCTGGGAAGATGATGTAATACACTGTAGTCACTGTTGTCCCACTGTAGGGCATTACTACCCAGAAATGACAGCTAATTAATACACTTTAAACTAATAATGTTAACATTTTTTTATCTTGCATAGCCATGGCGAATATAAAAATAATAATAGAAAACAAACTTTTATTAAAAGCAGTTTTAAATTGTTGTCCTTATGTACTGATATTCTTCAAGGACATTTTGAGATATATACTAAAGGGGAACTGTAAGTGCATTCTAGACTTTGATAGCTGCCGATTACTTGAATTCCCCTATGCAGGTAGGATTTCCACACTAGTTTGTTGCTTTGGAATCTCTCTCCTCCTGCTGCATTCCTTATCAGGTAAATAAAAAATGTAGCTGGGAAAATGAGATCTTGTCATAATGACCAGACTACATGGGTAGACCTAGCCTTGAGCCCAATGAAGAGATTTACCGTATTTAATGTAGTATTATTATTATTATACAGGATTTATATAGCGCCAACAGTTTGCGCAGTGCTTTACAATATAAGGAAGACATTACAAACACAATGCAATTTAAGACAAGATGAGAGGGAGGGCCCTGCCCGTGTGGGCTTACAATCTAAAATAAATATGAAAATTCTGACTAAATGTGCTACCAAAGCAAACAATAGTTTTAAGTCAACTGACTCTTTAAGGAGAAAAGTATTTAGGGTCAGTTCACGGCAAATGCAGCGCAGTAATGGGTACAGTAACACATAGGTGTACTGTGGTGACATTCATTCTGACTTTTTAATAACACCCCAGTGGATCACATTCCCAGTGGATTGCATTACAGCACAATGTACCAACATATGTTGCGGCACCCTGCCAAAAACGCAAAAAATCTATTTTTATATCCCTTGCAGTGCATTAAACAGCCCATTTAAATTAAGGGGCTGTCTTAATGCAATGTATGTTAAGGCCCGTGCAATTAACACAACGCAGCAGACTGAGCTGGTGAGAATGGGCCTTAGGCTGCAATGATGACATGTCCTTCTGAAAATGCTTGTTGTTTGATTGTCTTACTGTTCTCCTGACTCTACCCCTTTTTGAGTCACTGATCAGAAACAAGCATGTAGACAGTGAAGTCAGAACTCTCATCTCCATGCGTGTTCTGAATCAGTGACTTAAAATAAAAGTCAAAAGAATCAATAGGACATTAGGGCAACTTTTCCAGAAATAGAGGTAAGCAGATAAGCAACATATTTCTGTTAGAACAGGTTTTGTTTCCTAACAAAAAAACAATGATATGCAGAAAACTAAACTTGTCTATATAAAAATCTATTAGCAGTTGAATTTGCACACAGTTCACTATTGCCAGGTCCCTCTTTTCTTCACAGTGTGCCAGTCGGTGTTCCTGGTTTCGAAGCAGTGTATGGGCAGTGGTAGTAGGACTGGTTCTGCATATCCTTTAAAAACAGTAAAATTATTCTGTTTTGGGGGCTTCTATAAAGCACACAAAAAGGTTTGATCCCTTGCAGTTCCACTAGTGCATAAAGAGGGTGACCAAGACCTTCCATGGACCTTAGAGGGAAAGAGCGGTAGATCAAGTTAGAGTGTGGCACTTTCTCATAAGAGACCAGTTCCAGGGTCAAGTGGGCCCACCAGGCAACTACCAGCAAGTATTGTTTTCATTCTATTGATTGCCATTATCTTGGAAAATATTTACATGTTCACTGCTTGCCACTTACTTTTTAAAAGATTAGATGGCTGTTTGAAACCTGCAAGTTGTGTAATGGACTTAGTTCAGTTGCCCTTCCCAATATTACCATGAAAGGCCCTAAATCTGTGTTGTAATAATGTTGTGATTGAATCAAAGTCTAAATATTCTGTAAGACACAGATGCCTTTATAGTTATAAAGTGGTTTATAGCATAGTAGATAGTAACAGTTATTTATGCCAGTATATGATAAACTCATGCAACATCAGTGATTAACAGTGTTCTCAATGTCTATATGATAAGCTCATGTGCACAATATAGCAGTCAGTCATGTGATCCATCAGGCTTTACAGGCATATGGGAGTATGGGGTGGAGGTAAGCTCTAAGCTACATGTGACAGCTCCCAATTTCTCATTGTTGGAAGCTTCAAAGTGCTGACAGGTCAACACGGATGTAGAAATAAAAGGGCTTGGTTCTTACTTTGATCTTACCTTTTACCTAGAGTTGTGTGAAAATGATGACATGGTTCTTAATATAGTTAATTTGCGTAACTCTGTACTTCCTATTACCTGCTTTGAGTTACATAGAAAAGCCAAATTAAAATAAAATGAAATGTTTCAAATTGTTGTAGCAATTCTGGTACCTCTTCTAGCACAGTGAGGATTAAGACAATCTGTTGAATGTGTATTGGAGGCAATTGTAAACCGAGTTTAAGAACTCCATGAATATCTTAATTGTGCTGCAAAGATGTATCTCACTGTCCTGGAACACATTTTTGGTTAAGAGACCAAGGGCCAATCCATCCATTAAATGATAACCCACTGGGTTTGATTTACTAAAATCAAATAAACTGTTCACTTAGCAAGGGAATTTTCCTTTAGCTAAGTGAATGTGGTGAAAATTCACTTTGCAAAGCATACACAATTACATGCCAGAAAAATTTAAAAAACCTGTATTTTTGCTCCAGAGCTTCACCTAATTTACTAAGCTAAGGGGAAGTTCGCTTGCAAAGTGAACCGCCTATTTGCCTTTAGTTAATCAACCCCACAGTCTCTTACTGCAGCTGAATGATTCTGATATTAGTGGCTTTAGGGGGCATGGTGATAATACAGTATATGACCATAGATACAACTAATTTTTAGCAGCCAATTGCTAGGCCCAAGCAGGCTAGTGAAATTACAGCTCCCCTTAGCATGCAAAACAAGCCAGCACCTTGGATTTCAGTGCTGACTGCAATGGAGTAAGGAGCGCTGGTAAGGTGAATATAACTAGGGCAAGAGGGGCCTTGAGAACGGCGAGGGGGCATATTTTAACACTGATCATTTACTTATAAACTTATAATGAGAATAGCTGCACATAATCTGTGATTTGTTTTATATACATTGACAACATACATATGTATAACTGTATCCTACACATGACCCACAGTGAATTTCCTGACTTTGAAAAACAATGGCCCTTTCAACAAAATGTCCCACCTGGCCAATTGCTTTCTTCTGGGAATCAGGTGTGCCAAAGTTATTTGAAGAATTCATTTGTAGCCCAAACAGGAATTACATGTATTGGATTACAGATCTATTGTCTATGGATAGCTTAACAACAGTAAGGAGGCGAAGGAAATTTTTGCCTTAAAGTTAATGCATAAACAAACTAATGCTAAACATCTCACATTGTAACTATGGAGAGTATGTTATTGGTTACAAAGCATGGAGCCAATGTTTACCTGGGATAAACACATCCGGTTATTAGCTCACTAAGCATGGATAGCCTGCTGAATTGTTTCAGGCCACACATTACCTTTACATGGTATCCATTATTCATCCTGTTGACACTACTTGACAATAAGGCTTTAGCTGCATGAGTTATTCTGGCCCATGGTAAAGTGACAGAAAAATGTCCCTGCCACCAAGAGAGTCTGATATTTTGTAACACAGCTTTTAACCTACTTGCTACACCCATTCAGTATTGCCAACTCATTATTTTAATTACTGACAGATATAGAAGTTATTTTCTAAATTAATACAGATAAAGCATTAAGGGCTTGTTAATTGTAGGAGCGTTCTTGTATATTTTCTGTATTCTCAAGCAAAGACAAAATGTGCAATGGTGTGTTGAAAAATTATCCTGTGTGACACTGAATTTCTAATGTACAAACATTCATTTTCACATTTAAGTCAATTGAATAGGGCCATTCACAAATCACAAAATGTGGTAAAAATGCATTTACTATGTTTTTTATTGGTCCATATTTATGGTATCTGCAAGTACTTATTATACTTATTACTTATTATAGTCAATAATTGGATAACAGACACATTTCCATCATATTATTAACCCTTTGCTGCATGTCTTAATAATCACCTTTTAGTCAATCCTTCTCAATCCTTCTGTTTTCAAGAAAGTTTACCATGCACAGTATACTTATGTTTGTTTTCCTGGATTGTTGGAGACGCTGTTACGGTAGTAGGCGTATTAAGGATGTGATTAGAGCAGTGCCACTCCCCTATCACTAACTTTTCTACAAGGGTAAATATTGAATTTGTCACACATTATAGGTTGACACCAAGCTTCCGACATTACACTCAAAATTACTTGACAAATAACTACAGAGTGTTTGATATAAGACAAATTGTTGTTTCCAGGATTGCCTGGGAAAGTATTCTGTTTTTGTTTTATAATTGCTTACTTTTTTATTAAAACTTTTTGTAGTCTGCACTAATCACATCCCACTGAATTGTATTGTTAGGCTTTATCTAAAAACCCTTTATTTTCTATCTTTTAATTTTACTATCCTAAATTATCAATGTATTTTCTTTTTTATATTTTCACATGCTACAGCTTGCTTGTGGGACAACAGTTGGACCACTGTGTAAACCTGGAGAAAATTGTACATCTGAAATATGTAAGAAAGGGTTACTTCTTTTAATACTATAATTGTAAAATAGCACAAATGATTAAAGCACAGTTAAATGAAGAACATACACAACCTAATTATTGCACAACAATATATTCCACAGCACTTTGGAAGCAAGTGTACACTGTATCTGTCTTTACTTACCCAGCAGTCCATATACAGTAGATAGAAATGTCAACAGAATTCAACTAGACTATTGTTATTAATTTGATGATTATTTTGAAGTGAACATAGAGGGAACATGCATGGTACCCCAAATTACAGCCAAATTAAAGACACCCCTACTGTAGGGGAGTAATGCTAACCACTGTGGAACATCCATATTTTATTTGGCATGAAAATTTGATGAAATGCTTAAAGGAGAACTATGAGGTGAGTGAAAATCACTCATCCTCATAGTTTGAGCCGACGTGTGACAATGCAACTGTCACACGTCGGCTCAATAGATTGGGAAGTGAGCGAACACATACCATCACTCGCTCACTTCTCGATCATCTCCCTGCTGAGAGCTGTGACTGTCACGGCTCCCTACAGGGATTCCCGCCCTCCCCGCTCTGATCCTCCAGCGCTCACTGGAGGAACGGACAGGGGAGGGTGCGAGTACAGCTTGCTCTGCCTCTAGATAGGCAGAGCCAGCCGTTACTCACGCAGCTGGGTGGATCTCGACACGGCTGTGGCGGGCTCAGTAGCTTTCGATATACTGCACTTTGGGTCACGGGAGGACGCTAGTATATGTCCTCCTGTGACCCTTAAGAGAACTATGAGGAAAAACATTTACCCCATAGTTCTCTTTTAATTTCTTCTTTTTCTAATTTCTCAAATGTTTCAAAAGAACATATTTAAAATGATAGTAAATATAGGGCTATAAACACATAATATATATGCAGGCTTAATTAAAACTGAACTACAGGCAAACAGCTAAATACACAGATTAAATACACGTATAAGAGATATTTTACCTGCCAAGAGATTGATATAGCTGTCCATGCAGTCCCGAGATTTACACAACTCTGCCCCACAGCGCAGTTCTGTTTAGCAGGTGAAGAGACATTATCTTTATCTGCAGCAGATTAATGGGTCCAGACCTTGTGACTGGACAGTGAATGGACAAGCAGCACACTGATGCGCTCCTCTCTGTCACTCTACTCTTTCCCCCTATCAGCAGGGCTCTTTGCACTGCAGCACACCTGATTGGCTTCTTGTGTCCCCCTTACCCACCCCTCCCTCTGAGCTCTGCTGTACAGATTGTACAGTAGGCTGCAAGAAGCTCATAACGGGTCTAATAAGGTACTTGCACTGCTTGTTCCAAATACAGATATGTACGGTGCTTGTATTAAAAATGCATTTAATGATGTATTAATGATTACAGTGTTGCATTATTCGAGCCTTTAATATATTCCTGAAGTTTAACTTGACTTTAACCCAATTTACTATTGCCATGTGTCTCAAGTACACAGTCAAAAGCAATTTTACTCTTATAGAACTGATAATACAATTGTGTTGGCATGTTTATTTACACTACTTTTTTTTGTTATCAGTGAAAACAACTGAAAGTCCACATGTAACAACATTCAAGGTATCCAAATGTGCACCAGAGATGAGCGACTACTGTATCAATGGTCAGTGCTTGTACCATGAGGAGGCTGATGAACACTACTGTCAGTAAGTAGATATTGCACAATAGGAGTGATTTTCTAATCTGCAGAGATATTAAATGAGCTATGTTTATGTCAAGAATCCAGTTGTCTACAGAGAACAATCTTCTCCATCACATGATTGGTTGCTTAATGCAAACATTGGTTCTTTTTACTTTACTTTATTTTGTTTTCAATAACTTAGTCCCAATTAATTATCTAATTAAAATATTATTTCTAATAGTTGTACTCATTATATAGATTACTACTGTAGTGATAATATAGCTTATATAACTATATATGCTATAGGTAAGCTATCATAGAATGGGATAATTATATAACTATGCTCTAGTTTGTAATATGCATCTATTAAGAAAATATAGCTGATGATCTATAAGTTAGTTACCAATGACCTGGATCTGGACAAGGTGCATTCATTTCACTGCTATATATATTTGTAATTAATTAAAAAATATATAATAATGTTGCTCTTAAAATAAGGTGACAATTTAATGATTCATAATCACCTTCTTTGTTCTTCAGGTGTGAAAGAGGTTATCTTGGACTCCGCTGTGCTCACTCAGACCTTCTACATCAACCTCCCAATGAGGAATATTTGGCACTTACCATCTTTTTAACATCTATGTTGCTTATAGTAGCTGCCTTGGCTGTATTCTTTGCACTAAAGTGGTAAGTGATTTTAATATATACACCTGTTATGAGGTGCCAATAGCAGATTATCTGCTTGGCTACTACATTAGAGAGATTAATTATTTGGATGAGCTTTTGCATTAAGGAAACAGGGATACTTGCAGCATCATCCTAATAGACAAGCATGGTTCTCTTTAAAATAACTTGCAGATGATCATTGACCAAGGATTTACAGTTGCTATAGCCATTGCAGATCATGTGACTTTAATGATGCTCAGCAACATGAAGGACCTTTTAAAGTCTGATGGCTCATGTGGTCCATATGAATTTCTCATAATAGTTTAGCAATCCAGTTAAACAGTACAATGGAACAGAGCAATAATAAACTTTAGATAAAGCTGAAAATGAGGTTAAATTCAAAATTTTACAGTACTCACTGGAACAGGAATAGAGGGAAAATCTTTTAGTGGGGACAGCTGTTCTAGTGGCAGTTATTAAAGCTTTTAGTGGGGACAGCTGTTCTAGTGGCAGTTATTAAAGCTTTTAGTGGGGACAGCTGTTCTAGTGGCAGTTATTAAAGCTGGAAATTACTCTTACTTTGAGAGATTTTCATAGACTTCTTAAGTCTTCCAGTTGGGAATTGAAGAGGAATCACCATAAAGGAGACTCAGACAACAACAAAAAGCCTTTAAATACTCTATCCAAAACAGTAAAAGAATGTGACTGGAGTACTACTATAAGCACAGTGCTTGTTCAAGTGCTGATGGCCTCTTAACAAACAGAAAAGTTGATGTTCTGTCTTCCTCCAAATATTAATTTGCAGTAAATGTATGTAGCACACCTTCATGCGAAATGACCCCTTAAGAAGGGTGGAAGCCTAGCATTTCCATTTCAGGGTCTGTGTTATTGGTATGATAAGTTGGACGCCAGTCACTTTTGTGTTTTTACCTTTTATTGTTAAACTAAATTCTGGGAGAGAGGGTTTAGGCATTCTAAAGTACCAAAAGCAGTATGCCCTTTTAAAGCAGCCTCTTAGTATCTGCTGGCCCTGTAAAAGCTGCCAGACAGATTCAAGACCCTATAGGAGCAGTCACAGTCTTTCTTACGTCGCAGTGCATTTCTGATTTATAAATATTGCTCATGACCCTTTTGAAGCAGTCAAAAATACCTTAATTGATGGGCAATGAACCCTTTTTAAAATGTCCAGGTGTAGCTTCTACCTAGCTTCTCTGCGAAACTCTTCAGCAGGTAGCTTAAGTTTTTGGGCCTATGGAACCTGCCTCAGGCAAGGCCCACATCATCTCCAGGCAAAAGCCCAAGAGGCAGAGAGATCAGTTGACTTAAATATTTCTCTCCGAAACCATACTTCTGAACCAGGATCTCAGGGATCGGTTGGTATTGGTAAAGAGATGAATTATCAGTTGAGATAATTCACATTATGCTATGGTTGTTTAGCAGTATTGAGGGTCTGAATGATTCATGTCATAGTTTGCATTCTTTTACATTTACTGAAAAGCCAATGATCAATCACAGGAAAGTAGCAGCAATAGTCTGTTGCACAGTAGTGTGATTAAGAATTACTAGTGTGGTGGACTATAGCAGAAGTGAATTATGTTTGTTTTATTTTTCTCTACAGGTACAAACTTAAGAAATCTATCCAGAAGTACAAGGGAGTTAATACACAGCACATATAGAATCCTGGCTTTCCATGAAGGTCAAAAATAAATAAGTGTTCCTGAAGCAGCTGGTGCTGTCAACTACATTTAATGTAAACTATTCATTTCTTGAGTTTTTGTTTTTTTCAATATTTATATATTTAGATTTGTTTTGTGCACTGCAGGTCAACCATGACTGGTATTAGTATTGCTGTAAATATTAATGTTATATGTATTATTTGTGACCATCACCTAATAGTACATTTGTATGTAAATATTTTACAAAATTGACCAATTTTTGTATGCTGGGTTTTTTATGGAATATTTATGTTCTTTTTATTTGTTGTAAATTATTTTTGTAATGCCTAATGGCTGGAGTACAGCTAGCCACAGATGGTTTGATGCTCCAAAATTTGAGCATTGTTTGTCATTTCTGACCCTTTTCTGCTGAACTAGATGGTGATAATGAGCATGCCAAAGAGATAGAGGCGCTCCTTATCGCACAGGTACATTTTCCAACCTGTTGGAAAATCTCCAAACAAGCAGATCCTGGTTCTTTACTCTAATGGAGAAGAGCGAAGAACAAGAAGTACCAAATGGGTGCCGCAATCAATTATGAATATTATGTGGATATGAGGCACACATTAGTCATGTGAACATGGACAGATAAGATCCACCCATTATTCTTAGGGAGATATTTGCCCATCAATAGCTATTCGAGTAGAATGCTTGGTGCATCACATGACATTATCCCTTAACACACAGAATAATGTATAAATTAGTTGTTCCTCAGTCATATTATTCAACACTTAACTATTGTACCTTTAAAATTGTCCATATGCTGGCAGATTAAGGAACTTCTGAAATCATTTAAATGTGGGCTGCCCAATCTGCAGCACACCAGGGCTATCACAGTGCTGATTCAAATCTGACTGACCCAGTCTGTGTGCTGGATAAAAGGTGTGTACCATATAGCAGATATTTGCTAACTTGCATGTAGGGAAGGCCAATACATAGCCTGATTAGGTATAAAATGACTTATATGGCTTGATAATCAGTACACCTATGAACATGTTGAGTGACGTTAAACACATAATTATAAAAAAGAAACAAAAAAAAACAAAAAACGTTTTATGAAGTCTTTGATAGAATACATAAGTGCCAGGCATGCAGTGATGCCTTCATTGGCCAATGTGCCTGCTGAAACCATACTGGAAAGTTAAAGTTATACAAACAAGCTGCTTGTAAAGATGTTGAGAAATGTCAAGGCATTAATCTCCTCCTTGCTGTAATCTTTTAGTGTGGGGGGTGATGTGTTGGATGTTCAGCAGGGCCTGGATGAAGAGGTTCCTTCTTTGGCATACATGATTACCAACACACTAAATTTTCCACCAAGGTGGCAATCAACATCATAATGAGTTGTTTAAGTTGCTTTTCTAGGCAGCCCTTAGACAGTGTTTTGGTTGCTTGGATGGTTAGGGGTTGTTGCCGTAAATGAAGATGAATGCATGTGCCCTAAGGTAGGGCAAATGTTATAAATGTAAGAAAAAAAAGAATGTACACTTTTTGAGCTATAATAAAAATGAGTCATATCTCCCTTCTCTTTTGTGATTACTATTAAAATCAAGTGTAAGCAAGCATTTAAAGGAAACTTGTCATGAGAGAACTACATAGGCTGCCATAGCTGTTCTATGGTGTATGTTGCTCCTAAGCCCTGGATAAGGTTCCTCATGGAATATCAGGTGCGGAATGTCAGCAGGGGCCCACCTTAAGCTTCACAGACTGCACAAATCCAAAGGAAAAGACCAGCATGCCTAAAAGAAAAAATCAAATGCTGGTAACTAACAGAGAGTTCTTACCCGACACCTTCTTTTTCCGGATTTAAATTTTTTTTTTTATGTACAGCCAATCATTTTCTTTGAATTTATGCTGAAAGCAAAGTGAGAGCTCTTGGTCTGTATATTATTTTTGTGACAGTAGAATTATTGAAAACAAAGAATCAGCATGACAACCGGGCAACTATAATGTTCAGAAAGAGGTCAACAATGACACCTTATGAATTTATCTAGTACCAGGATTCCTTAAATAGAAAAAAAACCTGTAACATTTATAATGATAACATTTGTGTTTAATTTTTGCTTGTATGTTGCAACCCAAGATGGTATTGTAATTTAATGTAATTCAACTTTAACAAAAAAAGGACACCTATGTGTGTGACTGACGAGTGAACGAGGCTCTTTGTGCTATTACATTTAATCAGGATACCCACTAATTGGTTTCTCTAACATCAATAGGGACTTGATAATATAGTGTAACTGGGGCACATTATTACATACCTTTTGACTAAGGAGCAAACTTCCTCTGGTATCTCAGCTCCTCAACCCTGGTTAGGAACAGACACTTACCTGAAAGGCCACATTCTCATGTAAAGAATGCTTAATACATGGCCTTTGTTGTGTTTATTAATTTTATTATAATAATAATTTAATGTTAAAGAGGGCTGACTTATGTTTATCTGATAGTTCCAAGCACTACATATACTTTATTTATATTTATTAAGCTATCAAGTGTAAATACTGAAACATTGATCCAAATATCAGCTTTAACTATGCACCACATGCATATTTAATATGTTCCCTTGAATGGAATGCTAGTTTTCAGGAAAAAACACACAGAAAACATGCTGTATTTAATTAAGTGATCATTAAAGTGAACCTTTTACCAACCATTGGTTACTGTGTTTCCCCGAAATTAAGACACTGTCTTATATTTTTTGTGGCTCAAAAAACACACTAGGTTTTATTTTCGGGGTAGGTCTTATTTTTTTTTTTATGTATAACAATCCAAAGTTAATGCAAATCCAAATTAAATAATCCAAAATGGCAAAGTTAAGAATGGGGTGATCAGGGCAATCAAGGGTGCTATCCGTTTCCAAGAGCAATTTGGTAACCAGAATGAGCAAAATGCACTTTCACTATCGATTCCTCACAGGCGGAGTGCATTTGGTATCACTCCACCTGTGACAGGAGCCGGCACTATAGAGGAAGCATCGGCTCATGCGGCTCTGCTCCCTGCGCTGCCGCCTCGCTTCCTCTAGCGCTGCCTTCGTTGGCACCGCTGATTCTCTCCCACGCCTCTTCAAGTTCCCCCTTATACCACCACCGGCCCTGGGAATGGTCACAGCTAGGTCTTTTTTTTCAGGGTAGATCTTATATTTGAGCAATTCCCAAAAATGATACTAGGTCTTAATTTCGGGGTATGTCTTATTTTCGGGGAAACAGGGTAGATCTTATTAATTAATTTATTACACACACCATTATTACCAGACCATTATGAGCTGAAGCTACAGTAGCTAAGAGGCCTGGATAAGACCTTATCCATCTAGGGGATATTTGAACATGCTATGCTAAGCAATTTCAGGCAAGTGGCAGGTTTTAAAGTTATTATTTAAAGTTCCTCCAGTACGGCACTGCCAAGACTGTATAGTGGATTTTTACTTTTGCAACTAAATTGGTATAGTGCCTATTTTATATTTGTTACATGTTCCCATTCATATAGCATAACTATACTGTAGTGTCCTATGTATAATCCTGCTCCAAAGAAATAACAGAAAACTAAGAAATATAAAAATATATATTTTTTAGGTTGGCTGTGTGGCTTGAGAACAGTTAACAAATATATAATAGGGGTTTCCCAAATTTGACTGCAAAGGTGGGAATAGAATTTAAAAGTATTAAACCATTATGTTATATTGAGTTTGACATGCTTTCCTGCAAACATAATGCTATGTTCAGAAGAAATGTGCATTAATTAATATTTTCAAAATAGTTGTCCCAACGGCTACATTTAAGTGAACAGGTGTCCCTAGATTTTTGCTGTCTGAGGCTGGAGGGGTAGAGGGGAGTGCTGGTGGTGTTCGTTACCTGGGCTGGTGGAAGTCTGCCTGCTGGTACCATACATTACTGGTGGGAGTTAAGGGGTGCTGCCGGTACCTCTGACTCTGGCTCTATCCGTGTCCCACACAGCTCACTGACGTCGCTGTTTGTCAGGAGCTCGGTAGGATGCCAGCCAGAGTGTCCCGCTCAACTTTTGGCAGCCAGTGACATCAGTGAGCTGGGTGGGATGCTGGACGGAGCGTCACAAGCTGCTAAGAGCTCTGGTCCCCCCTTGGGACCCAATGAGATGCTGCCTGAGGCAATTGCCCTCAGACTGCCTCATTATAGGGACTCAAAGGGTTTGTGGGTACAACAGCAGGACCCTGAAAACCCTATGACATCTGCCTTCATCTATTTTAGCTACCTAGCTCAGAGGTTGGGAACTTTTCTCTGCCTCCCACTGTGTACCTCACTGAGCTATCTGATAAAGGGGTAGTGCATGATGTTTCATAGATCAATGTAGCTCCTCCTATTCTCACCCTACATCTTCCCTTTATTGATGTCACACCCCTCTGCTTTTGACTCCTCCCACTAGCAACCAAGCAGAGATACTGAGAAGGAATAGGCAAAATGGTGGGTGGTAATCTATCGATGCAATATAAAGTAGAGTACAAACAAATTATTTGTTTAAAGATTGGGAAATGGCAACAACCTTAATTATAATTACAATGGACCTGTTTTTAACAAAGTAAAGCTCTACTGTAATAAAAAAATAAAAATAGCAGTAAGCCATAGCAATGAAATGAAAAGTAATTTGTAATGGTTGTTATGTTACTGCAATTAGCACATTGCTTTTTTTTTTTAAAGTAATTTGAATATACTATGTACTGCAAACAAAGCTGCTTTACTCTAATGTCCTGCCAGTTTCTCTGTATTAGGGGCATGTCAACCAAACGATTAACATGGTTGAAATTTGTACTACTACTATTACTCTTGTTATTAGCTAGAACAGTTGTGTCAGCATATTTGGATTATTTGTTCTGTGAATTAATTGCTGTTGTTGACAGAAAAAAGGAATTTGATTAAAACGTTATTTATAAAGTGACAATTTTTCATAAAATGTGTTTTAAATGTGTTTTAATAAAAACAATTACAATCATAGATAATGTGTGAGCTTTTTCTTTAACTGCCAAAGTTGATTGATCTTTACACATTGTATAGTGTGGAGCACTAAAAGTTCATCTAAGGGAGTTGTTTTACTTGCCAAAATATTTGTATTTGAGTGGTGTCCTCTCTCCACCCCCAACCAACTGATGGACAGTGAAGAAACATCAAGAGACTGATGCTCACATTAATCTTTTCTTCTATCAGCATGTTCCTTGTCAGCACACCTGACTGGCTACTAGTCCTTCCTCTTACTCTCACAGTCTAGTGTTATAGGGGGCTGCAGGAGGCTAATACAAAGTCCAATTAATAATTGCATTGAATATATGATTTATTAGTGAATTAGTACCAAGGAGCTTCCTTCTCGTTCAGTAGGGGCTCCTTTCGGGTTCAGTGGAGCTCAGATTCTAACCAGGGTCAGTTTGCCACTTGTTTTTTCATAGAATATTTTTTTAACATTTTTTTTATCTCAGAAGTGCTGGTCACCTCTGGTCTTTTTCAGCCAATTCCTGTCTGTATTCATGTACTCATTCCAGCATCCGCTGAACATCATTGCTCTGGGGCGGCTTCCTGATAGTGACCATGGTAGACCATGCTTGCACAATGTGTGTCAGCATGCTTCTTGTAGTCTCCATCAAGGGAGCATGTGATAAGGTGGCAATGCAGCAGCACAACTGGAAGGCAGTTTTCATCCCATAACAGGAAATAGCCTGAACAAGGTCCAACATGCCAGGATCACCGGGTATTATGTTGATAAAAGTTTCAGATTTTAAAGTTTGGTATTACATTAGCATGTTAAAGCTCATTAGCGTACGAGTTTAGATATACTTTAAAGCACACCTATACTCACATACCAACGTAAAGGTATGTTAACAAAAGAGTAATAGAAAGGCTGAAATACTTACATTTCCTGAATACAAATTTTCATCTAGACCCCTTATGCTGCTGTTTACATGTCCAAAAGTCTAGGACTTTGATCACATGACTCCTGCTGGTGTCTGAACAATTCGGACTCTGACCTTTCAATTTAACATTGATTAAATGGCCAAAACACACACACTTTTGACTATGTGAGCAGCAAATCACTTCATTTTGGTCTACTGCTTTTGCCGGAGGTTTTCTGGTGCTGATAATATGGAATATTGTAAATTACTGCTGGTATCGGACCACCTGCTATTCCACTGCCCTATGAGAGAGCCTGTATATGGGGCAACCTTATTAGATGGACTTGTGGAGATTAGCTAAAAGGTTTTGAAAAGT